TTTATTTACACCAACACATTTGTAGTGTAGAAAGATGGAAGTCTTGACCCGCACCATGCCGCAGTATTGCACTCTAGCCTTGCTTCTAGTTGCACAGGGAGACTATTTAAACAGGCCATCGCTCCATGTTATTTGAGCGCCTGCAGTGCATAAGACGGAGGGCCGCGTCTCTGATGTGGGTTGAATTAAGGCGTATTCAAGCCCAAACACCACTGTCTATAAGCGAATACAAATAATGACATAAAATTTATAACTCGATTATCTGAGGTAGATTCCACAAGTTGGAGCTTTCGATGTCGCTGGTTCATAAGTCCTAGGATTCAGGATTCTAATCCGACACCTACGAAGTTTGATCTCGACATCTTTATCATTGCTCCCACCGTATATTACTATGTAGTGTCAATCTTTAAGGGATTTCAGTTGTTATGTTTGACTGCAGGCATGAAATTATGATGTCCGTGGAATAGCAGATGGAAAGTTATGTTTCACTACCTCTGCAAGGGAGATATTCACAAATAGCGATAAATTTGCCTGGAGGTTATCATTTATTGTTCATTGTTGTGCAGATTTCCATAGATTGAACAGCGATATTGTGTTTGATCACAGTTTTGTCAAACCATCAGATTTATCGCTCCTACCGCAAGGACGTAGCGTCTCATAATTACTTTACAATGACTTCTTTCCTGTCCACTGAATGACATTAACGACAGGTAATATTTCTTAAAATGCTCCGCATACAGCCTTGGTTGATGAACATGTTAATAGATTTTAGCATGTCATGACTTAAGCCATAAAAGAGAATGTGGATGTAAAGATCATGAGTTTCATCAGACTGTCTCTCTGCTGGCCTAAGCATTTTCCTAAAATTTTTGATGGAATAATCGCCTTTAAAATCTCCTGTAATATATGCTATGCCGCTGTATTTGATGATCGCAGATTGCATATATCGTTCTTCTTTTTGACGGCAGATGATGCCAGCTTTTTGCATGAACCACCCACTTAAATTGACTTCGAAGAGGACCTGCGTGATTCATGTTGAAACAGATTTTAAGTCATTCAGTAAGTTTTGATGAGTTTTTATTCTTTCGATCACAACTGCTAATCCTATGCCAGCGCTTGGGATTCGGCATAAGATATCCTGAGCCTGGTCCAGAATCCATCAAGGGATTTGTCCCATTACGCTCTTACTCGTCTCCTGGGCTTTCCGCCGGCTGAGTGAGCAAGTATTGACCGTTGTCTCATTGGCTCAGTGGTTGATTCATCGTTGATGGCACCAAACAAAGGTGATGCAAATATATTTATTGTCGGTATTTGACTCACGTTCTCTGAGAATGTTGCCAGTATTTTAGGGAAATGCGTTAGCAGTCAAAGTTTAACGACAGTGTTCGTTGGTCTTTATTGATCTTTCAGAAAGTTG